TGAGGAATCCCCCAACAGACTTGTGTGCTAAAATCCTCATCTGTGGTGCCCATCTTCTCCACACCAATCCCTTTCCTGAGTTATTCACAAGCGAATCCTGCAACTCAACGTTAGAGCTGTTTTGACTTTTAAGAACCCAGAAAAAGGGAAAACCAGACATTTCTATTCCCTTAGTAATTTCAGTAAAGTCTTCATCGCTAAGTGTCACTTCACTTCCAAAAGCTACATACATCACTGACCCTTCTTCCTGTTTGTCTAACCAATTAAGTATGGTATCCCAGTTTTCATCATTCCTGTCTTCACTAAACTGTAATGAAGGTGGCAATAACCCAACTGGAATCACCGGTTTACTATATATACTTTCGAACAATTTGAGAGGCTCACCTTCAATATCCGTGCAGGTTCTTATAGCAGTAACTTGAGCACCATTACAAGTTTCAAGGACTCGAAACAGGTCTGAAACCCCCGATTCATTTGTCTCATAATGTTCTTCAGCAAAATCTGTGTCTTTCAGGAGAAAAAAATAGATAGCAGATGCACTAAAAATACAGAAATACATGCATGAGATTCCTAGCTTAGAAGATATTGGCGGCAACCAATACGGTGCAAAGTCGTATATTATCCAATCTGGTTTGCATCTCTCCAGAAACTTGGTCAAAGGTTGTTCAAGACCATCAAAAGCCTGCTTGAGGTATGGAATGAGGTGGTGAGGAATGTCCACTGTCGCCTCTGCATTTTCTGGGAGTTTGTCAACACGGGGCAGTGGCAGTTCTATCAGATCCACCAAAGGTTGCAAGTTTTCAGGCACTTTGGGTAAGCGATGGATATTTTTAGGTGTAGAAATGAAAGAAATTTTGTGACCCTTTTGAGCTATGAGTTTTGAAAGCTCAAAAAATGGACCTATGTGACCAAATGCTAGCCATGGAAACAGCACGACGTGAAGCTTCTCACGCTGCTCCGCCATGGATATTCTTGTGTTTAAGAATAAATGTGTGGCTTCTTTATATTGGGTTATCTGGATGGTTATTTGTTCTTCTTTTTTGGGATTTGACTAAATTTGTTCTCTCCTGCATGTAACATCATGCAATCAGTGACACAGGGGCAACATCGGAACTCCCTTTAAAATTACTAAATTTGATATCCACCATTCATTCATGACAACATTTGTATTCATTAGTGTCTCTCTTGTGACCTTTCACTCAAAGAGGGACCGTTTTAAATTCATTGCATTCATTTTAACATTATTTCTATCTATAATAGTACCTCTTCTCACGTTTCACGTACAACAAAAATTAAGTCAAGAAATTGGGGACCAATTGGATCGCCCTTGTGTAAAAATCACACCTAATTACCTAAGTTTTGGCTACGTCTTAAATTGGTCTTTTATATATATATATATATATATATATATATGTATATGTATATGTATATGTATATATATATGTATATGTATATATATGTATATGTATATATATGTATATATATAGGTTAAATTTTGATGTAAACTTAAAATTGGTCTCTGATTAAAACTTTGATATATTTTGATTCTCGATTTTAAAAATAAATGAATTTAGTCCTTATAATTCAAATGTTTTAACTTTTTTTATATATTAAAGGACTTTCGAGAATAACATTTGAACTATAATATGTGAAAGTAAATAACTCAAACGCCAAAAAATGTCACTTGACATGTTATACATGTTTGGACCTTACAACACTTCATTTCTCAATGGTAGCATGTTATTTTTGTTTTTTATCTATTGATGTACTCTAGAATGTGGTGGATCTATTTTCTTATATTCAATTCAGAAGTTGTCGGTGTTTTTTTTTTTTTTTCAATTCATGCAATGGATTGAAACAAGAATTGAGATTTAACAACGGCAAAGAGTACACCTCCAATTAATTTAATTGATTTTGTGAAAAAGTAGGGGTTGATCATAAACCCATCCTCCGTACACTAAAAAAATTGAGTTAGTGAGAGAAAGTGTTCGTTTGTCAAATATGCTAGGAATTTTCGGAAAAAAAAAATGGATGAGAAGATAATCTAATGTGTAAGAAGGAGAGCCAAGCAAAAAAGATGAAGTTGAACTAATTGATAAAACTTTCTATAGAAGTATATAGTTGATAGCTTAATGTACTTAACAACTACTAAACTAGTGTCTAAAGTATATATGTGAAAGGGACACTAAATTTTGGAATCAAATTTTGCACAAGTCAGAACTATGTATTTCGATAGTGACTAATCGGTCCGTAATGCTCAAAATTCGTTGGTAAATTAAAATTACCGATGGATTATCGACGGTCAAAAATTTGTCAGTAAAACTATTGTCGGTAAATTTTACTGACATAATTTTTTCATCAGTAAATTTATCGATAAATTTATCGATAAACATCTCAATTTGGTTCATCTTCTTTCTCCTATCTCCTCCTTCCATTCTGTTTCTTCAATTTTTTTAGTTTTACCAATATAGAAGACTGGTGTTGGCCGAACTTAGAGCAAAGCGTGCGGTGGTGGTAGTGTGTGGTGGTGGCAATGCGCAATGGTGGCAGTATGGGCTGATGGCAGTGCGCAGTAGTGGAAGTGTGTGGTGGTGGCAATGCGCGGTGGTGGAAAGGGTAGCTTGGCTGAACCAAGATGGAGGCGGTCTGAATGAACGAAGTGGCGACTTTGCTGAATGGAGATGGAGACAGTGTTGATTTGTAGCTGGAATGGAAGAAAAGAAAAAGACGGAGTGAAAGATGAAGAAGTAGGAGAAGAAAAAGCTTCCTTGCGCAAATGAGGAAAAAATGTGAGAAAGAAATATATATATATATATATATATATATATATATATAAAACAAGATTTGCTCGCGGACAGAAAGGAAAAATGGATGGGAAAATTCCCGCTCGTTTTACCAACGAAATTATAAATGAATTTTCTATCGGTAATGTATATTTCATTTATCAATGGATTTAAGACGGACAAATCCGTCGATAAGTCAAATAATGAACAAAAAGTTTCTGTCAATTTTATCGACATATTTACTGACAAAAAAATCTGTCAGTAAATAAAGGATTGGACAGAAAAGTTCCTGCCCATTTTACTGACAGATCTATTGACAAATTTTTCGTGGATAATACATGTCTTATTTACCAACGAAAATATATTTGTTGATAAAAATTCGTTAATAAAATTCGTTGGTAATAAAAGACTTTGAAATCCTTCGGTAAGTCAAATTTATCGATGAATATATATTTGATAAAAATCTGTCGGTAAAAATATGAATTCACTACAATTAGTACTATGTGAATCAAGCTTTATGGTTAATAAAAGTGTTAGTAGATTTGAATATGAAGCAATAGAGATGCTCGTAAGTAGTAGTTGATATTCAATATGCTATTTCTTTCAAAGAACCTTATTTTAGTAGAAAAACTAAACACTTCAATATCAAATATTTTCTCTGCAAAGTGAAAAAGAAAGGAATAATCAACTCTACCTTTTGCAACTTGCTTATATATTTACTATGGGTGTGTTTATTTTGAAGAATGAATTTGAGGAGAGGGAGTGGATAAGTTTGAGTAGATTGAAAATAAATTGGATGTTATTTTTTTTTGAAAAATTTAAAAGTGATTGAAACTAAATTTAAAAGCAAGTAAAATTTTGTATAGAATTTAATCGATGTGACAAATAAAAAAATATTAATTAATAAAAAATAAAGATTATCAAAATGTCTTTTAATAGTAAAAATAATATAAGATTATATTTATTAGTAAAAAATATTATAAGGAGGAATAAAATCAAAATTAATTTTGAAAATAAAATAAATTTGTATTTAAATAAAGTAAAATAATTACATTTAAAATTTATTTTTCTAATAATATAATTTACCAAGCAAAACTCAAACGGTGGAATCTCATACTCATCCCCATAATCAGTTACGGTCATTGTAATGCAATGATTGGAATCAGATACATAGATAATCGAACTGAATACAAGTCACTTTGGACCGGGATAAGGGAATGGGATACTGATTTATATACTCACCCATTCATTACTTTTACTATTATTTAATATTATTATTATTAATTTATTATTTAAGGTTATTATCATTCCATGCATATTGTAATGAAACTGGAATTGAATACATGCTTCATTAATCGAATACATAATTCGTAGATTCTAATACAAAAGTGGAATAAATTACAACGCTTTAACAAATTGAAAAATTGACATTTACATTTAAATCGTTTCAAATAGGAACATATCATCGCTAATCCAAAAAATAATACATCCTGCAAATCATCCCTTTGAGTCACTCTCAATTCCCTCAAGAACACCATTCAACAATAAAATCTATCTTTATTAATTCACTTCATATTATAATCGCTTCATACGAACACAGTCTAAGTCTTTACCAAAAAGAAGTTTTAGTTTCTTGTTGGAGTTTATAGCATTCAAAACAAAACAGGAATGTTGAAGTTGTACTTTAATTAGTGTCGTTTCATCATTCATGTTAAAATATTTTAGTTGTTTTATTTATTTTTTATTTAGTTAAAGTTGTTTGTTTTAAATAAACTTAGTTAGCAGTAGTGTCAGATTGTTACGAAGTTGGTAAATATGGGATCATATCCTATATGTGGAGCCGACTTGTATTTTAGCTTTTGCACCTCTCTTGACGAGCCTCCCTTGGTGGCCTCGACACTGAGAACACGAGTAAGCACAAGAGCTTGTGTATTTTAGCTTTCATTTGTGTTAAAAAATCCTATATCAATTATATTTATAAATAAGTGTAATTTTCATTTTACAAAATCATTTCATGATATTAACACGAGATTAAATTTAAAATTCACGTCATAATACTGTTTTTCACACAAAGCTTAAAACTTAAGGATCAATTACATATAATAACAAATAACAAACAACCTTAAAACTTGTGCATCAATTACAAATAATAAACCACAACATAAATTTTGCATAGCTGATGACATAATAGAATAGCAGAAAGACTAATCCATAGCCGACTTGTATTTTAGCTTTTGAATGATATAATAGAATAGCAGAAAGACTAATCCTTTATGGTAGGCCTATGGATTTCCATATATTCAACAAACTCATCTGCATATTTTTGGTGAAGTTCTTTGTCCCCAAATATTTTACTTATTTCCTCTGCTTCATTTCTATAAGTTTTTTCCAACATCACTGATCTCAATGCATTGGCAACCGATTCCCTGGTGAACTTTCCATCACGCTCACTTCTCTGTACTTTGACACCTACCCTTTTCTCCTCCATAAGCCTAGCACTTACAAATTGACCAGCTTGGAAGGGCAACATAACAAGTGGACAACCAACTTGAAGACTCTCTATAACTGAACTCCAACCAGAGTGACTAAGGAATGCCCCAACAGACTTGTGTGCTAAAATCCTCATCTGCGGTGCCCATCTTCTCCACACCAAACCCTTTCCTGAGTTATTCACAACCAAATCCTGCAACTCAACCTTAGATGTGTTTTGCTTTTTAAGAACCCAAAAAAAGGGAAAACCAGACATTTCTATTCCCATACTAATTTCAGTAAAGTCTTCATCGCTTAGTGTCACTTCACTTCCAAAAGCTACATACATCACTGACGCTTCTTCCTGTTTGTCTAACCATTTAAGAATGCTATCCCAGTTTTCATCATTATTGTCTTCACTGAACTGTAGTGAAGGTGGCAATAAACCAATTGGAATCACTGGTTTACTATATATGCTTTCGAACAATTTGAGAGGCTCACCTTCAATCTCCACGCAGGTTCTTGTAGCAGTAACTTGAGCACCATTACAAGTTTCAAGGACTCGAAACAGGTCTGAAACCCCCGATTCATTTGTCTCGTAATGTTCTTCAAGGAAATCTGTGGTCTTTAGGAGAAAAAAATAGATAGCAGATGCACCAAAAATACAGAAAAAGATGTTTGAGATTCCTAGCTTAGAAGATATTGGCGGCAACCAATACGGTGCAAAGTCGTATATTATCCAATCTGGTTTGCATCTCTCCAGAAATTTGGCCAAAGGTTGTTGAAGACCATCAAAAGCCAGCTTCAGGTATGGAATGAGGTGATGAGGAATGTCCATTGTGGCCTCTGCATTTTCTGGGAGTTTGTCAACACGGGGCAGTGGCAGTTCTATCAGATCCACCAAAGGTTGCAAGTTTTCAGGCACTTTTGGTAGGCGATGGATATTTCTAGGTGTGGAAATGAAAGAAATTTTGTGACCCTTTTGAGCTATGAGTCTTGCAAGCTCAAAAAATGGACCAATGTGACCAAATGCTAGCCATGGAAACAGCACAACGTGAAGTTTCTCACGCTGCTCCGCCATGGATATGCTTGTGTTTAAGCATAAATTGTGGCTTCTTTATCTTGGGTTATCTGGATGGTTATTTATTCTTCTTTGTTGAGATTTGATTAAATTTGTTGTCTCCTGTATGTAACATCTTGCAATGAGTGACTCAAGGGCAACATCGGAACTTTTTTAAAATTACTAAATTTGATACCTACCATTCATTCATGACAACCTTTGTATTCATTAGTGTCTCTCTTGTGACCTTTCACTCAAAGAGGGACCGTTTTAAATTCATTGCCTTCATTATAACATTATTTCTATCTATAATAGTACCTCTTCTCACGTTTTTCGTACAAAAAAAAAAATTAAGTAAAGGAAGTCGGGACCAGTTGGACCATCCTTGTGTAAAAATCACACCTAATTACACAAATTTTGATAGTTATTCCTTTATCATAGTTTTGTTTTACTACCATACAAGTTTATAAGATTTGTTTCGGATTGTAGTGTCTAGAACAACTCCTTCACACTTTGTCACTTCACTTCATTCAAGTTGTCGCTCTTCATACAATATCTTACCATTTTTCTTCTTTAAAGTTCAAACCGAGTGGGTGGATACTTGTCAAAAGTACTCCGACGTTCAAGTTTTAATTATACCGATAAGTTAGCATAGTTAAGTATTAAATGTTCTATAAATGTAATCACATACCTCCTTACCTTACCTCTGTATTTATAAATTTCGGAGTGAGCTTTTGGTTAGGAGTGACTCAATTACGGTCCAATATCTCATAAGTATGTTTTACCTTACTGATCATGTTGAGTTTGTGGTATCATGGTATCATTAATATGTAAGGTACTGAACGGTTACCAATGAGGTTCGACCAATCGACCTACATTATTCTAGAGGTTCTAGAAAGTTGATTGACTGCTCACTTTTGAGAATGCATTGACCGAGCGGTCTATATGTTACACAGGCCCCCAAGCCTGAGCCGAGAATAATCGGTGAAAGGGTTTTGTGAATTATGGTTTGCATGAGCATTTGTTCGGGTAGTTTTTGAAAATATGACTGTTATTAGGCTGACGCAAGGCTGTTTTCATTTCTCGCGCTAGGAGGAAGTTAAAGAGTCGTTCAAATGGGCCCGTTGGATCGTGTTTGATCTAATGACGCGAGTTGGATAAGGGTCCACAATTTTTTGCCTATAAATATGGTGAGCCTTTCATGTTATTTTCATCTTCTCTAGCTTAATCTCACTTTTACTGTTCGACTTATTCTTCTTCAAGTAATAATGGCCACTGTGAACTTGTCTTCGTTCGAGGACTCTCCAAGGAGGGGTGAACAGGGTTATGAAGATGTTGCTTCATCCTTGGCGACATCAGAGTCTTCTTCCTCTTTTTCTGAGTCAACTAAGCGAGATGAGGGTTCAGTTGACAGTATGACCAGTGTAAATGAAAATAAGGTTGTGTAGAGTTGCCATCTAAACTTCATTTATGGCGAGGTGATAGTCAACGGCGCTGAGGAGGATGAGGGACATGGAGGGACCCTTCCAGTCATAGTAGACTATGACTGGGCATCGCATGATGTGAAAGAGTTCGTCACATGCTTTTAGACAAAGGCCTAATTACAATACTCGGTCGAGCGTAATTGTGTGTTCAAGTCGATAGAGTTCAACCCTTTATTTAACATAGTCGCGTGTAAAGGAAACAAATGAGTTTTCCACGGGAAGGGAGACAGTTATAATGACTTCTTCTTCGCCTAAGTGCACCTCTCCCACTAGATGTTCACTCGCCTTACGTTTAGCGAGTTTTAGAGAACTCAATGTCGCTCCATCCTAACTACACCCAAATGATTGGGCTTACATGCTAGCCTTCCTGGTCCTTTGTCAAGCCTTGGACCTTGTGCCCACTCCTGTAACTTTCCTACACTATTTCTGCACTCAGCCCGTCGATAAGCATGGTTAGGTATCTTTGACATCGGAACACGACAAGATATTCTTCGAGCTTTTTGCCTTATCCTTCAAGGGCTTTAAGGATAAGTTTTTTAAAGTGGATTTGTGCTTTTCTACGAGAATGGTCAATAAATTTTTCGTCTCTACTAGACCCAAAATCCCGCCTAGTTAACCTCTTGGTTGAGAGCATAGATGGCTCCGTCACTAGTACAAAACTCGCGTAGAACGTCGAATATTTTAGGCTGTTGACGGCAAATTCGCGAACGACGTCATATCAAGAGACATTAAATTGACGTTGGGTTTATAAAATTCGACGTTAAATTGACGTCGAATTTAAAAAATTCGACGTTAAATTAATGTCGAATTTTGTCAATATACGACGTTAACTTAAGGTCGAATTTTGTCAATATAGAATGTTAATTTAAAATAGATTTTTGTCAATATACGACGTTAACTTAACGTCGAATTTTGTCAATATATGACGTTAACTTAATGTCGAATTTTGTCAATATACGATGTTAATTTTTTTTGTTTTCTTTTAATTAATTGTGATCCTTTTTTACAACTCTAAGAGACCTGAAAGTAGAAAAATAATAAATTTTAGTTTTTGGTATTTTATAAAGCAAGAACTATGAATGTGTAGTGTAATATCATCAACAAACAACAATAACCAACAACAAACAAGTTTAATCAAACAAAAAAAATAACAAACAAGTTCAACCAAACAACAACTAACAAGTTGAACAAAAAAACAACAAACAAGTTCAACAAATAAGTTCTTCAAAACAAAAACAAAAACTAACATTCAAAAGGTGGGTTCGTCGGAATAAAGTGTCATCACCAGTGACAGAGAAAGCAAAATGCGCCTATGAAGGACAAGAACACGAAAGTAATTGGTCAAAACAAACGAAATCATACATAAAGTAATTAATTAATATGCATTTGTATCAAATGAAAGAAATATTACATGTGATGGTTGTCAAACTTCGTTCGAGAAAAGTTTGAGAGGAGAAGAGGGTTTCGCGCGCTAAGATAGAGTGAATGAATTTTCAATCTCCCGCTCAAATTTTTATTGCATTCACTAACCTTTTAACGTCTAAAGCTGAAGCATTCAACGTTTTATATCCTTTTACGTCGAATTACAATTTTAAACGACGTTTAATAATTGCATTTATTTACAAAAATGTCACCGATCATTTTTAGCATTGGCTATTCAGTGGTTGGACGTTGAATGCGTGACGTTATACACTGTTTTTGTACTAATGTGTCTGAGTTAGAGACGATCAATATTCTTGATGAACTCCCCATCACTCCCGTCCCGAAGACTTATCAATATTCTTGGATGGGAAGACCTTAATGTTAAGGTGTTCGGTATGGCGTTTCTTATTTATTTGTAGATGTTCAAATTGATTTTAAGTTACCTAAATTTTTTGTTTTCTTTTAGGTATCATTTCTTCCTGGAATCCAAAGAGAAACGTTTTCAAGGAGGTCGCCCAACAGGTTCAAGTTGGTCAGACTTCGCGACCAGCTGAAAAACCTCCGAAGGTTTCCTGGAGGGGTCCTAGCCCCTCCACACTAGTACAAAAACAGCGTATAACGTCAAACGTTCAACGTCCAACCATTGAATAGCCATTCTTAAAAATGATCGGTGGCATTTTTGTAAATAAATGCAATTATTAAACGTTGTTTAGAATTGTAATTCGACGTAAAATGATATAAAACGTCGAATGCCCCAACATTACGTCAAAATGTTAATGAATTCAATAAAAATTTGAGTGGAAGATTAAAAATTCATTCACTTTATCTTAGCGCGCAATACTCTTTTCTCTTCTCAAACTTTTCTCGAACAAAGTTTGACGACCATCACATATAATCTTTCTTTCATTTGATACAAATGATTTTATGTATGATTTTCGTTTGTTTTGACAGATTATTTTCGTATTTTTGTCCTTCATAGGCACATTCTGCTTTCTTTGTCACTGGTAACGATACTTTATTCTGACGAACTCACATTTTGAAGGTTAATTTTCATTTTCATTTTGAAGAACTTATTTGTTGAACTTGTTTGTTGTTTTTTATTGAACTTGTTTGTTGTTTTTGGTTGAACATTTTTATTGTTGTTGTTTGATTGAACTTGTTGTCCTTGGTTATTGTTGTTGTTTGTTGTTGATACTGCATTCATAGTTCTAGCTTTATAAAATACCAAAAACTGAAATTTGTTTTTTTTTTACTTTTCAGGTCTCGTAGAGTTGTAAAAAAGGATCGCAATTAATTAAAAAAAATAAAATAAATTGATTAATATCGTATATTAACAAAATTTGACGTTAAGTGAATGTTGTATATTAACAAAATTTAACGTTAATTTAACGTCAAATTTTTTAAATTTAACGTCTTCTAATATGATGTCATTCACGAATTCGCCACTAAAAGCCCAAAATATTCAATATTGTACGTAATTTTTGTACTAGTGTTATAACACTTTATTTCTCAACGCTAACATGTTATTTTTATTTTTTATTTATAGACTACTCTAGAATGTGTTGAATCTATTTTCTTATATTCATGTGAGAAGTTGCTAGTGTGTTTTTTTTTTACAATTAATGGATTAAAACAAACGTTGAGAATTGAGATCTGACAATGATAAGGAGTACAAGCTGTATGTTTACAATTAATGGATTGAAAAGAAAACATTAATTATAGCTATATGTTTGCAAGTCTTGTTTTGTTACATTGTTGGAAGTATCACATCGATTAGATATAAGGGTAAATTATAATATATAAGTGCGATGCAAACCTCATTTTACAAGTTGGTTTTGTAGGATTGAGTTAGGCCTAAACTCATTTTCTAATATGGTATCAGAATCATGGTTAGAGTCTATCTAGTGATATTTGATGTTTGTTGTTTTTCTTGTATATAAACTTTGTACAATTATTTACTATTTGCTTTTTTTTTCCCTGTTGTTCTTTTGTACGGGCAATTATTATTATTTTTTTCCCGGTTGTGGTCTAGTGTAGCAGAACAAGGATGTGTCATTGCAAGTGGGCTGGGAAATCTTAAGATAAAGTCAAAAGGAGATTTATTATCATTTATACATTATTTAATGCCATGCTACCCATATCTGACTTAAAAAAGCTGAACATCTTTTTCTTTTCTTGATTGAAACTAGCTATTGTTTATAG